GATATACGAAAAAAAAAACAAAAAAAAAACAATAAACTAAAGCGTAGTTATATTCTATAAAAACAATCTTATAATCCCATAGACATCATATTTAATTAACATATTTATTATGTAGTGGGAGTATCGTCCAAATGCGCGGCTAGTTATGCAACTAAAGCACTAGTAATTGATTTTTTATTACGAGCCACCATGAAAGCTTGAGAGTCGTTTTGGTTTCTAAGCTTCTTAAGCGAAAGGAAATCTTTGACTCAATTTCAATTTATTCTTGAAAATGCTCTCATATTAGAAGCATAAAACTAATATTCATTAGTTCGTCGGCACATCCACTTAATATTCTTTATACGTTTCGTAGTGACAAATTCTTACTGAGATTGTGTTGACTTTGATTTGGCAACTCCACTACCATGACGGGAAAATTGAAATATTTCAGCACATAACAATATTAATATAATAAATTAATAAAATTATTAATAAATTATCATTAGTATTATTTTGCATTATATTGTCAGTAGAAAATAGAATTAAGTCTTTTTGTTGAGGCTTTGAATAATTTCGAATACATTGCATATTATGTAATAAAGAATCGCAATTTATCATACAATTACGCATACATGCATACACACATATCTGTATATGCGCAGGCTCACGCATACGCACATGTATATGCCTAATGATTTGTGAATACTCAACCATTCAAGTAGAGAAAGAATATTTATAAAACCAGGTTATCCAGAAAAATATTGTTCTAGTTATTTAATTAATTGCTCCCTTGCTATTTTTATGTTATAAATGAGGAATTATGCGATTACTGTTATGCGATTACTGTAAATTAATCATTAAAATCCTATTATATAAGATTGTACTTATGAAAATTAAATTAGATCAGAAAGTACAAGTGTTAAAAACTTTTTATCCAATACTTGATATAACTCTACGAGGTTTAATTAATTTCATGCATCTTAGATTTCATAATTATTAATAAAAACAATAAAATATTCAAAATATAACAACGAATGGTAATATGACATAAATATTTTCGAATTTAATAAATATTGGCATTGTTTTAAAACTATTAGTAAAGATTTATCTGATTAGTTTGATGAGCCAATATTACAATTTACAAATTTACATGCAATCTTTTTATGACAATTTCATCACTTATTGAAGATTTCTATTATTATATGTTAATGGTATAATTATTTTTAATAAAATATTTTAAAATATAATTAAAAAAGCATTGAGCAATTTTTTTATTTACGTGTAATTATAGATATTTTGTTTTAATATTTGAAATTTTAAATCTGAAAATTTTTATAAGTTTACAGTTAAAAATGTAATCGCATTCGTAATTTCATCAGACAAAATATTTGTATAAACTACTTAAATTTTATTAATTAAAATATTTCATTAAAATTTATTAGGATTAATGTGTGTCTAATGTATTAAAATTGAATCATATACATATTTTCATTTGTAACAAAGTCTAAATATTCTTAAAATAGTATAATAATAATATTTTTATAGCAATTCATTGTTTATAATTAATAAGTTTTTCAAATATGTTAATTTTAAACCTTTTAAAAAATTATCTATGATAACATGCAAAATTACATTTGCCGCAAAAAAATGGATTGATTGGTATATAATTGATAGGTATATAATTCTAAATCAATTAATGTTTATATACTTTAATTAGCCACGCAATTGTTCATTTAATTCTAAGCTAAAATGATCTCTTCTTTAATAAACAATAAATTTATTAAATTAAATTTAAAATAAGTAATATAAAGTCTAAAGTCTTTAAGCTAAAATAGTATTAAGATTTTGAATTGTAATATTTATTGGAATGTATTGAATTTTATATAAATCTGCATATTAAAAATATAAGTATTATTAAATTTTTTTTAATTAAAATTATAATAGGATCGATGTAATATTTTACTTAAATGATTTGAAACTTTATTATATTTTTATTCTTTCTAATGTGTTGCACACAACAAACATTTTTCTTTATAATTTTAATTTTATACATTAACGTAGTTTTAACTGTATTAATTGTATTAAATGTATGCTATGATATTTTTTTAACCGTTCTTAACTAATATGTCGAAATTTTTTTTTTTTTTTAATTAATAAAAATAGCAAGGTGAAACTAAATTATTCTAAAACCAAATTTATTTACATTCTTTTCTAAAATAAAGCTTTTGGCTCTGTTTCAGAAAAACATCAATCCAATATATGAATGAAAAATTTAACCAAAATTTAAATTTTGACGGATCTTGAAATTAACGTCATAAAATAAATGTAAGAAGTTTTTAAATAATTTTCTCTATTACATGAACAAATATAAATAAATTAAGGTGAATAAATTTAACGTATGGTTGAAAAAGTTCAAATGAAATTCTAAAACTTAGGTTCTTACAAACAATATATATTACCAGTTTAGCTATTGATAATTATGCACGTTTTCTTCACTCTTCTTGTATACATAAAATCTTAAATTAGACACTCTGAAATGTTATGTAAAATACTTTATTGTAAATTTTACATTTAGAAATACCGTTTCGAAAGTTTAACTAATCTTCAAATCAATTTGAAGTATATAAAAATTTTGTCATCATTTAAATGAAAATAATTAATAAGGCTAGTTGATTAAATTCTTTACTCGATATATAATTCCAAAATATCTATTAGTTTTTCAATAAAATCTTTAACTCTTTTATATGCAATTTGAAATAACTATTATATATAATTTTTTTTTGTTCTTTAATATTCAAATGCACGTTTTTTTGGATACTTCATGGAGAGAGTAAAAACATGAAAAATGTAGGACAAACATTACTTATCAGAATGTATAATCAATTAATTTATAAATTTAATTTACCTTAATTATTTATGTGTTATTTATACTAGTTATCACTTGCTTAATTATTATCCAATTTATTTTTGTAAAATCAATGCTTATTTATTTGTAATGTTGCTTTGTAAGGTTTATTACAATATTTATATTATTTGTGGTATTATTTAAAATCAAATTATCGGACTGTTTGATTGCAAATTTTTTTTTTTTTTTATATTATCTATTCTTTCAAATTAATTAATCAAGTATAATAAAATCAGTATGCATTGTTTAAGAAACCAATAATTTTAAAAATAAAATCAATTATTTCAATAGTGAAATATCTATCGATCAATCAAAATATTAATAAATGAGAATATAAAAATAAGGAAAGAAAATGTATTCCATGAAGAAAGTACGGTATAACTGATATTTACACTTCTAATTATTGTTTTACGTATTAAATAAAAATTTAAATCAAGTTCTTTACGCTGCTAGTTTGGTTGTCATTAATTATAAATGATTCTAGTTTAATATAGAAGAATTTTTATATGCATACATGCGTATACGTGCAGTGATGAAAACGTATATTTGTTCAGCCCCGAGCACATAGACGCTTTGTCAAATATTTAGGATAATTTTATCCATCACACTCTTTTCAACGTATGAAAGGGCAATATAATTTCAGTTATTCTGCTAGTAAAATTTCTCTTTCTGATTCTCGTCTCTCGTCTCTCTTCTTCTACTTCTTCTTCTTCCTCTCCCGCTGTTGCTGATTCTTTCATTCGCTGGTTTAAAAGTACCAAAGTAATTCCGTGTTCTTGTCGATATTTTCTCGATAATACTCGATAATATATTAGATTAAATACCCAATATTAAATTATATATATATATATATATATATATATATATATATATATTTGGTTTGAAGATGATTATTTCATAATATAGCAAGTTTGAAAATTATCTAATACGGTCATTCATAAACAATCATTTGAAATAACAATTTAAAATAACAATTACTTATTTTATTCTTTGCGCTATTCAATAATATCTTCCTCCATGAACGAAATTCTCACAATTCATAGTAATTCGACAAAGGCAGTTTATATACAAAATATCATTGATAGAGATAATAACAAAGAACATAGATAAAATTGACATATCCTGCAAAATTAGTCTAACATACACCTAAATTATTTTTTTTTTTATTACAGAAAACATAAATCGAGAATTTTATCGCCATTCTAAAGTAATTTGTTACGTCTGAAGGAAGAATGTAGCCATAGAGAAAGATGAATGTATTGGTATGAGAATATGGCGTATGAATGAAATTGGATTATTTAGAATATATTTGTTTGCAAAGATATTGTGAATTTTTGTTATGTGAATTTCTGAACCGAATGATTATGATTGTAGGATGTGTAATAAATCATTGGATGCACAAGTGCGATTGAAGTGCCAAGTGTAATAGAAAAAAGAGAATTAAAAAGAGGCAAAGAGTCGATAAATAAGGTAGAAGACAATTGAATCGAGAGGAGAGACAAGCCGGTGAAATAGAGGGGCATAGATGTCAGGCGGAGAGTGGATTTATGGCCAAGAGAGCTGAGGGAGAAGGAGAGAGAAGAGAGCATCGAGTACCGTACAGTCACCCCTTATCGTTCGTTCGATTAGCCATCGGCTTTATCGGTCAATCGCACCTTGGCTGCCCACGACTAAGTTGGCGATAATCGCGAGGGAGCTCGTGAGATCGGCGGACCATCCTAGCTAAAATATCCCCCGCCCTGCCAAAGTCGACAGGCATATTATTTAAATTCGGAGTGGTGCTCTACCGGGTCCGCGGCTCCAGCGCGACTGCGCGCAAGGAGGCGGTAAGCGTCCGCCCCTCGGCTGCCACGTGTTCGCCTGTGGTGGTGGCGGCTCGTCGTTATAGTTCGTCGTCGTCATCATCATCGTCTTCGTCGTCGTCGTCGTCGTCGTCGTCGTCGTCGTCGTCGTCGTCGTCGTCGTCGTCGTCGTCGTCGTCGTCGTCGTCGTCGTCGTCGTCGTCGTCGTCGTCGTCGTCGTCGTCGTCGTCGTGGTCGTTACTAGTCGTTGCTCGTTGCCATCGCCGTTACTCGTCGCTCGCCGTCTCCACCTAAAAAGGTAGATCGGCTCGGGAAGTAACGAGGTCGCGGATTGGCCGAGGGCCCGATCCAATCGGGGCTCGCGTTACACATCAGGATCACGTTGCACGCGCTTATATTGGGAGCCCCGACTTCGTTCTCTGACAGAACGGCTCTCTAACGTAAGTGTGCAGCATCACGTCGGTCGCTTCTCCGTATTTCCGACCAAAACACGCCTTTGATTAAGAAGCGCGCGCACCCATTCATTTAATCTTCCTTTATCCTTATTTTTCTCCTTGCGCATCGTAAATATACACATCAGGCGAGCCACTGCAACATCACGCAGGTGTATGTGTGTGTGCATGGATAGGTATTTACGAAAGGGTTCATTATTGTTGCCACCTGCATCGATTATTTTGTCGTGTTTTTTTAATCGATCGGCACCTTAACGATCGCTAAACGTTATTGGGCTTAAGCAGCTTTTAAGCAGCTGCATGTCAGTTGCTAAAGTTGCTAGGTGCAGGATAATTTAATTGGTGCAGGAGGCGAAATCGGCGATGCGGTGAAAGGGACGAGGGTGGCGAAGGAGGGCGTAAGGATACGCGAAATCGTGACGGGCGGGATACGACGGTTTAGTCTTTTCTCGGAGATATTGACGAGCAAGTGACATTGTTTGCCCGGAGTTGGAAGCCATTAAGTGAAAGTAAGAGAAGGAGGAAGTGTGTGCAAAGCAGAGAAGAGAAAGGACAGCTGTTGTGTGTGCTTTTCCGATTAAATCTGGTGATGACGATCGAAGGAAAAGGACTGTTTATTCGCTCAGGATTGTTTGACGCATCTCGGTGTTCAGCAACTCTAACGATTCATCCGGAAGTTTATTGTGAAATCGTGTTGAAGAACGCATAGGATCGTTACGTGGATTAGTGAATTCGAATAGCATCTTCGGGATTAAGGATTTTGGTGAACTGTTGAACGTATATTTATTTAGTCCACGTGCTCGTGATTAAATACTTAATCGAGTGATATTTTTTATTTCAATAACCATTCTGTATTTATCATAATTTCGAATTGGCCTCTATTAAATTCATAAAGTGTTTACTCTCTCGCCATTCTTCGTTGAAATTCAAAGATGTGCGACACATGTAACGCTTATTATTATTCGTTAGTAATTTCTTTGCTTGTTTTAGGCATATTTACCAAATATATTAAATTTTTTTTTAAAGTGAAACATGAAACTATGCAGCATTTGTTTTGCTGTTATATTTCTGAATGATTTCAATTTTAATGATTTTTCCATTGTCAAGTCTATACTTTATAATACAATATTCAAAGGGATAGTGAATTGAGAATTTCAATTATGGTTATATTAAAGAAAAATGATGTATTTTTGTTGATGTTGTTGTTATATCGTTTTTCTTTTAATAAAGCACTCTTTATATGGTTAGTAAAAATAGCTTTAAAAATATTACAATAGAAAAAATCATGGAATATGCGAATGTTATTAATGAATGTATCGTTAAATGGGTTTCAAAGACGTACGAAATTCTGTTTTTTTTTTTTTTTTTTTTTTTTTTTTGTAGTTCTTTATTAATATTAAAAAATGTTATGTAAAATGTTTGATAATAAGATATGTCGAAAGTATCGCGTCGTTCCATTTTCTTTTTAATTGTCTTTGCAATATGTCACCAAGTCGCGTGAAAAGTATGTATCGGCCATATAATTCAAGCCATACCATCGAAACAATTTGTAATAAATGTCTAATGAAAAAAATCCCGCCTAGATCGTTAGCTCCCGATTAAATAACATTGTAATGGCCGTCAAAGCTTTAAAAAATTGGAATGAATGTGAATGCGTGTGTGTTTATGGGCGCGCGCGCGCGCGCGCTCTCTCTCTGGCTCTGCACATGTGCGCCGACTTTGCTGACAAAGTCCTAGCATTCCGCGCATTCTGACTTTCGAATGCCAAGATGGAAATCTAAGACCACGAACCCACTTTCGATTTGGCCGGTGAACGAGGGGGTGGGGCGTGGGGGGGGGGGGCTCCCCGGGGGGGGGGGGGGGGGGGGGGACAGAAGTCGGAAAATAACAGAAAGAGAAGAGCCCGGCGTGAAAATAACGCGGAGGAGGGCCGGGGCTGGGGTGGGAGAGAATAACTCAAATCCAAATTCAGTGGGGTTCCAAGGTGGGGCGGGGGATGCCAGAGGCGGTATTACGGTAAGG